TATATACGAATCCCGATTAATTTGGGTCAAACGCATAGCCTCCTGTATGCGTATTATGTGATAGGTATTCATGTATAAGTATGAGAACTGTCTTGTGTAGTATGCATGTATGTATATATATATATATACATATTTCCACAATACATATATGAAAGACTATGTTCATGAGCGGTGCATTCTGCAGTACGTATGTATATGTACATATTTTTCCAGTGTAGTTCCTACTTCATACAGGAATGACTGTGTTCATCAAGGTTGTCTTGTGTAGAATGCTGCGTTGACATGAATGACCATTTCATAAGAGTGTCTTGTGTGGCATGTACGTATACATGAATGACAATGTTCATAAGGGTGTCTTGTGTAGTATGTACGTATACATGAATGACTATGTTCATATGGGTGTCTTGTGTAGCATGTATGTATACATATTCTCTGTGATTAACATTGTTGTGTTGACATGAATGACTATGTTCATAAGGGTTGTCTTGTGTAGCATGACCGTATACATAAATGACTATGTTCGAAAGGGTTGTCTTGTGTAGCATGTATGCATACATGAATGACTATGTTCATAAGGGTTGTCTTGTGTAGCATGTATGTATACATGAATGACTATGTTCATAAAGGTTGTCTTGTGTAGCATGTATGTATACATGAATGACCATGTTCACAAGGGTTGTCCTGTGCAGCATGTACGTATACATATTCTCAGGGATTAAGGATTGTTGCATTGCGACCTAGCACGCCGACATAGAGCATTGCAACGATACCAAAACCGATGAGTCACAACTCGTTATGTACATCTGCCGTGTCTATAAATAATGAAAGTGCAAAACCTTCACCCACACACTGCTCTACGAATGACACCAGCAAGTTGTTCCCGAGTGTTAATTGTACATAAGGCGCTTTTCACAAGCAGGACATTGCATGAATGCGGCTATGCTTGGGGCGTACCCCTCTCGATTGGGCACTGTGCATAGACTACGCGAGCCATGGCTCGTACGATAGAATGCGACTCAGAATGCGTGATTCTTCCTATCTAAAAATAGAATGCGACTCAGAGTGTGTGATTCTACCGGCCGAGGTGTAAAATCATATAGATTCGACCCGGAGGCTGTGATGCTACCTACCGAAACTGACAGGCCCGCGTCACAGGTGAAGAGAGGGAAGATGGTCACAGGCGCCGTCTTAAACTTATCGGCAATGCAGCCCACGTGCCAGCGTTTGAACACACCCTGCACGTTGCTCGTCATACTATGAGGTACAGTAGCAGACAGCAGAGTCAGGGGATCGGTGGTTTTAGGGATATAGGGTTTTAGGGTCAAGGGCAAGGTGTATACGGTCTGGCGGATAGGCTATTGATAGTACTGGTGACGAATGGGTTCAGGCGCTGTCGTGAGTTTATCGGCGATACATCCCACGTGCCAGCTGTAGAACAAGCCCTACGCATAGCAATCATACAAGCAAGTGTCTAACGTCACCACATATGTTATGAAAGCCTTGCTGGTCATACTACGAGTGAGACCACTACCAGAGGAAGCCTATGGATATCTGTGGGTATCGCACGTGTGTGGTGTATTTCCGAGGTTTCTTGTGTCGCGTTAGCTGGGCTGAGTGTATAACATTTGAATGTGTGCCGTGTAGCAATGCTTATATACCTATTGTTCCTTGTTAGGCTGAGTGTATAACATGTGAATGTGAACTATGTAGCAATGCTTATATACCTATTGTTCCTTTTTAAGCTGAGTCTATAGCATTTGAATGTGTGCTGTGTAGTAATGCCTACCTACCTCGTGTTCCTTGTCTCGTGTTTGGATTGGAAGGTGCCGCCAAAGATCACCAGATCCACAGTATCTGCAAGACCTGGAATGTACTCGCGTTTTAGCTTAACCCAACTGTTCGGGTTCTTGCCGTCGGGCACATATCTGAGTTATACAATCAGCGTACGCGTGGAATCGTATTAGTCTTTTGTCAAAAACAGATCGAGAGCATGGGCGATGGACATGCAATTACTTGTGCGTGTGAGGGGAATACATACCAGCGCCACATCCACTTTCACGCACTGTTTGATAACGTTTGACATACGAATGGCAACCGACGCCAAAGGGATTACAGCGGAACTAGGCTGATACAGGCTCACACACGAATATATCCAACTGCATGCAGGCTATACAAGTACATATACAACTGCGTACAGATACACGGATGCGGTACACCCATACTCGCATGCATATATGCAGCCCATATGGAACTACCTCTCACTTCCGAAGTGCGCACTCCATTCATCAAATAGACTCAGAAGGTTCAACAGACAGGATTGCGATATGCATTGCATGCATATGGTCGTGCATCAACTTTCTTGCGAAGAAACATGCAAATTTTTACNGAGAATATTCATAATATAT